AAGATACGCATAGAAACTACCTGTAAAACACCTAAGGTAGATGACTGAAATAGGTCAGAAAAACTGATTGTAGCACAGCTTTTTTCCCCCTCCCTTGACTATAAAAGGAATACAGGTTTCTTCTGATGGAGCTCTTAATGTAGACATCTGAGTCTAAGGGTCTTTCAGAAAACCCACTTCTAGCCAAAAAAAGCAAACAAAAGCCTGTTCCTCTGGGAAGGAACTCCGCTGCATTTCACAACACAGTATAAGCTGAGGATGCATGAAAAAATGTTATTTGGGCATTTACAATAAAGACTTCAGTATTTCATTTGTGAATTAGCTATCCTAGTGGGAAGCAAATTATTCCAACAGCTCCTATACTCCTAAAACTAATCCTTCTTTAAAAATTAAGTGGATTTAAAGTAATTTGCTTTAAAGAAAACAGCTGCAACTTTTCAGAGTTTCACAAAGCCCAGACAGTAACAGAAAGTCTTCCACTTCTTGTGGCAAATGAGTTTAGCTCCCTGCCTCTATGTCTGGGGTATGACAAAACCTGGCTGTTGACTAGCCAAAATGTGAAATGGAAAGAAACGTGGAAGAAAATCAGCATCCCTTGCCTGTCCAGGTGAAGTTCTTACATTATACTACATGCATATCGTACACATGACCAATAACTTTTTTTTCAAGTCAGGAAAACCAGTCCTGAATCATGCAGAAGATGGTCACTGTCTTTCAGTGCATGAGCCCTTACGACTTATGACCTACACGTTAGTTACCTCAAAAGTGATTATTTTCCTGAGCAAGGAAATCTGTAAGACTCAAATAAGGCAATTCTCTGCAGAGGTTCTTTTCAAGCTCTTTCATTCCCCAATTCACTCTTAAGGACTTTTGCCATCATTGCATCAGCTTGGACCAAATTCTAAAACCAACTTTTAATCCTTTCAAAAGTTTCTGGTTGGTTGTTTTCTTGTCCGTTGCCCTTATTCCTCCTTAATTTATTGTAGAAAGAAAAAGTCTAGATTATTATTCTGTTCTCATTACCATATTTTTCCTTACTGTAATAGCCATTTAAATATGGAAATGCTACAGCTCAGCAATTTGCTATAGATTTGCTAGCCCATGGAACAAGAAACCTCAGTCGGGAAAAACCTAGCAAGTGTCATAATGAACAGCAGAGAAAATAAGGCAAACTGCTGTAGAAAAACAGAGAGGGAGAGCAGACCTGGGTGTTGCACAGCCTGGGAAGCAGCACTTCTTGCTTTGCGGCCTTCTGGCTGTGACAACTCTGCTGCCCAGATTTTAGCCTCCTCCTCTGAAGAAGCAGTCGTGCAGAGCACTTGGATGCAACAAACCACTCCAGGATTAGTGCTGTATTTTCTGTATGGATTCCAGCTAAAATAATCTGCTCTTTTTTTTTTTTTTTTTTTAACTGTTGCGATTCATAGCAAGTCCTTAGTGTCCTGCACTTGGTACTGGCTGAACATCCAGGAAATCTCCATCTTCTGCTACTCAGGTGAAATCAGAGGGAGAAACAAAGAAGCACAAGGATTGCTGGAGGGTGGACCAGACATGGGGAGAGAGACTCTAGTGTATTTATTTTCATGTTACACACAGATACATATAACCACCTCTGCAGCTGGAGTTTACATTTAATTTTACTGATAAGCCATGGCTCAAACACTTCAAAACACAGCAGTGTCCAAAAACTCTTTGTATAAACTTAACAGAATTGTCCACTTGCTGTCATGATGGTTTTTTCCAATACTGAACCTGGCATTCCACTGGAGGAGTATCACTCACTGGCAAAGCAAGCAACTCTTCTCTCCTTTTAAGTGCTTTCTTGCAACACATTTCAAACTGTCCGTGTTTTGTTCATAGTCCTGGAGCGTTGCCCGTGCACTCCACACTATCTGCACACACACTTGCATCTTTCCCAGAGGGAAACAGAAGCAGAGAAATAAATCAATAGACAGTTCTGTCTAGGAAGTCACGCTTGATTTCAAATAAATATCTGTTTATCACAGTAGACCACTTTGGGAAAAGTGAGTTGTTCTCCATTTTCTTGCAACAGGAGTTCTTCTCAGCCAGTTGCCAACATTTTACAGCACTTGGCTATGAAAGCTGCTGGATGTATAAAGAAATAGCAACAGCTTTCATGACATCTCTATCCATCTTCTCAGTATTTTCACGTTTGGATTCAGCTTTCAAAGTTCAGCCAGGTAAATATCAGAGCAGAGTGATAAATAACTGGGAACTTAACTCGGAGCATTCAACCTCAGGTGACCCTAAATTTTTTTCACTGCGTTTATTTTATTTTTTAGCAGAATTTAGAAGAATTTTGATGTCTCCCACAATAACACTTCCAAAGAAAGTCTGACTTGGTGCAAGACTAAATGTTTTCAGCTTTGCTTTTGATGTTTGGCTAAAAAAGCTCAGTAATTTTTGGTTATGAATGTCACTTCTTTCTGATTAAAACTGCTTTTAGGACAAAAAATAGTTCAGAACTGGAAGTGAGTAACTGGTCATTTGATTTCTGCTATTTCTCTTCTAAAATTTCATCAATGCACACTTGCCACCCACTTCCCCTTTTTCAGAAATCCCTTTGTCTTTCTTAGGAACAGAAATTCAGCCATTTTGTTTAAGATCACACAAAATCGTCACCTTACAGCTTCACATCCCAACCTTGACTGCATGTCTGCATGCTCATCTGTGGGTCAAGAGTTGCCTTTAACAGCCCCAAGCTTTGCAGCCCAGGTTGCAATTCTCCTGTGGAGGCAGGAGAAGAGCTCAGCATCGCTCATGGATAACACTCTGTGCACCAACATAAGATGCTTTCTGATCCTAAACGCATCCAATGCACTCAAAGAACCACAAAATCTTGCAGAGGAATGTCTCCATCCTATGGTGAATGTGTGTGTATGTCAAACTGTACTGCCTGTCCCCTCACTGCTTTGGCTTAGCAGGAGCACAGAGCTCAGTGCTCAGCACCGGCAGGACAACAGGGACCTAAGCAGCTTGCAGGCAGCAAGGCACGACCAGCATGGCAAATCCAGAGGGAAAACACACTTTAATGCCTGGTGGAGGAAAAATGATAATACAAAACGGGTTAGAAGTGTAAATGTCACTGATAAAACTCAAGTGTCCACTTGGGGGTGGCAAAGTATTTTAGTTGCGTCTTCAGGGAGCAGGAATTGCCTTTTCTCTCCAGGGCCTTGTGTGTATCTGTTACATTTTCCATGGCTTGTTTCTCAAGACTGCAGCTGGTAAAATAGGTCTGACAGAAAACATGGGCTAAAATTCCCCTTGCGCTGCAGGAAAAGATGACTCACCAGCTGCCATGAGCCCCCCAGGTCTTGCCTCACCTAGGAGGCCCACAGCAACAGGTAAAACAGAAGACTCTGGGGAAAGCAAGGTAAAAACCCATGGTAGCAGGAGTACAACCCCTTCCTCATATGGTGTAAAATGTCATCTGGATCCCCAGTGACCAGACTGGAATAAGTCTTTATGCATATGGTACAGTGTGTTATCTTTAAGGAACTAATGTTCTTATTTGATAACTCATGTACTCTCACTATGTAATTCCCAGCCCCTTGATGACAAACATTGGGTGATTTTCTGTGGCAGTGCATGCCAAGCCTGAGCCCAGCATGGTGTTTAAATAGTCATGGTGAACAAAGAAGGCTTTTATCTGAAACACTACAAAATGGCTTTGAAACTTGGGACACAGAGGTTTATAAAATTCTCTCATGTAATGGATTTACCCTAGCCTCCCTTTACAAAACTCTACAGGGGCCTGACCTGCAAGTCAGCAGAGTTCAGGAACTCATCAGCTGCACTGCCTTCATGATCTGTTTGCATGACTGAGATGAAGGATAGTTTCTCAGACCTTATATTGTGCTTTGTGGCAAAACCTGAATTCAGTAGGTGCAATATCACGGCAACACTCGCTCTTTTACTGCCTTTGTGTCCGCTTCTCTGATACAAACCTGCAGGTTTGTCTCAGTTCCTTGTGTTGGCTGTTTTCTGGTGGTTGCTAACCCCATGTAGATCTCTTGACTTCTGCAATCCACCTGGTGGAGGAAGGTGTGAAGTCTACTGAAGCACAGCCACAGGGCTTCACTGGTAGAGACAACACATAAGTATCCAAAGTTCAAGCAATTGATAAGAAGTTCTTGCAAACTGCAGGATATGAGGCATAGCAGGGACCTACCGCAGTCCATTTGTACATAGTCAGACCCAGTTCAGGCAGATGGGCAAAACCAAAACTGTCTGATGCACAGGATAAGCCTTCAAAGGCTGCAGACTTTTCACACTCCCTGCGCAGATAGCCCTCATCAGCTGCATTTTGGGCAAACGGGTCACACCAGGAACATCTCAGTCCTCAGTAATGGCTATTTGCCAGGTAATGTGGATGGATTTGTGGCATGCCTGTGCCATTTCAGCACTGCAGATATTGTCAGACATAATATAAGAAGATACGGCAGTGACTTTGAGAATTGTTAAAATTGTAAAAATAAGCCACTAGAGGGTAGGTATTTTGTCAAAGTGATTCAAGGCAGTAACACCACACTCCCACCTGAATCTTCACCTAACTCAAGTTTGCTTTACATTTATTTGACAATTATTGGCTGCCTGGTTCTTCTGGTCCAGAAACAGCTATTGCTAGTGCCAGTGTCTGATGTTTATCAGCCCAGCTCAGAGCTGCTCTTGTTCATGTCTACTTGTTCATGTTGCCAAGGGTGGCTTGAGACAGCCACATCTCCAAAAGGTTGTAGGAAAGAGAAGCCAGACTGCCTTACCTAAAGCTAGAAGTGAGTAGACAAGGCTTGTGCAGCAAGTTGCCCCATTTCAAACTAAGTAAAAACTGATGTTTAGGCTGGTGCACAAAAAGCCATTCTTGGATAAGTTGTATCTCTCTCCTGTGCTGATAACATTGGGAGTATGTTTTATTTTTTTTAAGCAGCTAGTAAGCTGAAAGTTCCAGCTCTCCTATTAGCTTGAGGGTAATACAATATATCTCAATCACCTGTTAATTATAGTTTCTTCCTTTACTCATTCAACAAGACACCAGGTTTTACTGAGATCAGTCTTTTAGGAAGGTCTTTTCTCTTTTTGTTTCTTAAAGTAATTTTCTTTAATTTCTCTCTCACCTGAATCACAACACGGAAAGTCACAGAGCAGTGGAGGGCTGAGAACTGCTGATAGATGTCCTCTGTGTGCCAGGGAGACTTGTGTCTTCAGCAGAGTCCATGAGATTGTGGTCCTCAACCACAAAGATGCTCTGCTGGGCAGAAGTCTTGCTAGTGGGATGTTTAGAGGCCCAGTGCTTGCAGTAAGGAGAAATGACACCGAGGAAAGCCATCCTGAAGCGCTGGGACAACAGATTGTAAATGATGGGGTTCACAGCAGAGCTCAGATAGAAGAAAACACCTAGGAGAGCAAGGGTGGGGGAAAGGAGAGAGTGACCTTATTTACGTGCAAAACTATCTCAGCAAAGGAAAATTTCTACGTTGCCTAAACTGCTCCACCAAGCTTGGGTGCACAAGTGAAGGCAGCAACAGCCCATCTCTGCCTGCTACCATCCAGGCAGAGCAGAGGGATGTCTCGCCATTTCGCTAAGGCAAGCTCAGGCACTGCTGCACACAAGAAAGGAAAGGAGGAGAGCATACGAGCTGGAGCTCACCAACTCCAGCTGTTCAGGAACCAGCTCTCTCTTGAGCTGTGCTGACCTGCCTGCAGCACAGCCCTCATCCCCACAGAAGAGTTTGCACAGCTGGTGCCCCTATCAGAGCTGCCAGAGGACAACTTCCAGCTGAGGGCAGCTAATTTCTTACAACATACCAGGACGATTGCACGAGATTGGATTTGTCTGAGTGCCCTACTGGCCACATTCAATGCTTTCCCATGGCAAACTGAAAACGAGATTCCTCTTAGAAAAAGCCTTCATTTTATGGTTGGCAGAGTCATAAACAGGGTCACAGAATCACAGAATATTCGGAGTTGGAAGGGACCTTGAAAGATCATTCCGTCCAACCCCCCTGCCAGAGCAGGATCACCCAGACCAGGTCACACAGGGATGCATCCAGGCGGGTTTTGAATGTCTCCAGAGAAGGAGACTCCACAACCTCTCTGGGCAGCCTGTTCAGTGCCCTGTCACCCTTACAGTAAAGAAGTTTTCCTCACGTTCAGATTGAACCTCCTATGCTCCAGCTTGCACCCATTGCCCCTTGTCCTGTCATTGGCTGTCACTGAGAAGAGCCTGGCTCCTTCCTCCTGACACTCATCCTTTAATGAGGTCACCCCTCAGTCTCCTCTTCTCCAAGCTAAAGAGACCCAGCTCCCTCAGCCGCTCCTCATAAGGGAGATCCTCCACTCCCTCCATCATCTTTGTGGCTCTGCTGGACTCTTTCAAGCAATTCTCTGTCCTTCTTGAACTGAGGGCCCAGAACTGAACACAATGTTCCAGATGTGGTCTCACCAGGGCAGAGTAGAGGGGAAGGAGAACCTCTCTGACCTACAACCACATCCCTTCTGATACACCCCAGGATGCCATTGGCCTTCTTGGCCGCAAGGGCACATTGCTGGCTCATGGTCATCCTGCTGTCCACCAGGACCCCCAGGTCCTTTTCTGCCTGGCAGCTCCAGCCACTCATCCCCAAGCCTGTAGCGCTGCATGGGGTTATTGTGATCGAAGTGCAGGACAGGGCACTTCGGTCACATTTGTCAAACATTTGTTTGTATCACTGAGTTCTGAGAAGTTTGTAAGTCTTGTCTTGCCATTTGGGAAGGTTTTCCATTTGCCTGAGAGACCCTCTGGAGGATGATAACTGCTCCTGTCTATTCATTAAAAGCAGCTGAATGACAGCAGACTTCATTTCTGAAGATTCCCAAGAAGGAAAAGTAGCTGGTGATGATTTATGATATTTTTTTCAATTATTGCTTCTTTGTGAATATTCAAATAACTGTATTAGCCAACATGCTCAGATCTTGAAAGCTGCAGAAACTTGCATGCAGTTTTTATTTCAGGCACAGTTGTCATCACTGTCCACCAAACCCCAAGAAACTTTTCTGTGCACACCTCATGTTACCTACAAAATAAATTACTTCATATTTCAAGTAAATCACTCACAAATACTTTTTTTTTTGCCAGCCCCTGTGCAAGTGGAAGAAGAAAGCTTTACCTGACACCACATGAATTAAGTTGAATATATTAGCCAGAGGCTCAGTCCATTCCACAACAAAACTGAAGAAGAGTCGGTCTACATGGAATGGAGCCCAGCAGATAGCAAAAACTATCACAAGGACAACTAGCATGGAGAAAGAGAAGAAGGAATACAAGTCAGCTATTGAAGGATATGGTTCACTAGCCTGCAGAGAGCAGAGGTAGTTCAGAAAGCTGAATGAAAGACTAAATATACAAATTTTATTCATTGTTTCCAAACTTTTGCCATCCTTCCTGTCTTAGCATTACCAGCTAAAGGAACAAACTTTCCACTAATTTCTATGTTGGATAACTCAATGCAGTCACATAAAACGACATTCAAACAGAGCAGGCAATAGCCAAATAATGTTGTGGCATGTACAAAGCCTAATGAAGAAACTGCCAGTGAGACATCTGTATTCATCTGTGGTACCTGGGACACAGTGACTCCGTCATGCCTTGGAGTTAATTTCATGTGCACACTATTTGTACATCACATAGCAGGGTAAGGCCATAGAAACCACCCGCTGATGATAAGTCTGTCTGGGTGCACTGTTCAACATGAAAGACAAAGAGTTTGCCTCCATGCACAACTTGTCCTGTGGTGGCTCTAGTAAGGACTCTTGCAAACCCATTCCAGACTTGGGTCCTATGAATATCAGTGGTCACAGTCATGGGGCACAGAAAATCAAGCTGACTTCAAAGTACAGTTTCCTAGTTCAGAAGGTGACTTAAGCTGCCTAAAGGAATAATGTTGTTGCAGGAAATATTGAAGGTGATTTATGTTTCCTGCATAAACATTGTCTCAGCAGCAAGGTGATCTTTGCCTTAAAGACAGCCCTAAATTAGGAAGTGCACCCTGAGTGCTTTCAGGGTGGTTGGAGCACAAATTCTCCTGAATGCTATACCATGTACAAATCTGCCTAGATCTTACTGTTTCTTGGGAAGGCCTAAGTGTTTAAATCAGCAGTAGGTGATGTACCTACTTGGAAGGCAGGACCTTCCAAGGTGTGTGTGCATCACCTTGCTGTGATGCAAGACAGCTGTTCATCCTTCAGACTGTTTGTACAGAGGGATCCTTCCTAGAGGGCTGCAAAAGCCAGGTTTGGAATGAGGGATATTAGGGGGTTGCCCTGCAAGCAGTTGCTACGTAGGTTTCTCAAGCTCCTTTCATGCTGGGGAGGAAAATTTGCCTTCTGAGTACTTTGATAGTCAGTCATGGTGCTTCACTCCTATGCCCTGCAAGTCCAGATAAAATGGCAATAAGGGTTTTTTTGTTGTATTTTTTTTTAGATCACAGCTACTCATCTCATAACTCTTCCATCCAGTGAATATTTGATACCCTTCAGGACCTGGTCACCCTCTTGTCCATGGTAAATAAAACACAGAGGACTCATTACTTACAAAGCATCTTGGTGACTGATTTCCTTGATGGTCTCTGAACATTCACAGCCATTTCCTCCGCTTCCAAAGATTTGTCTCCTTTCAACTGGCAAAAGGAGGGAAAAGGAAGGAGAGCTTAGACAGGAGATGACATCGCCACCAGACATAGTCTGTTTGATATTTTGATAAATGTAGTTTGAGAAGGCAAAATGTGGGGCAGCTCAGGGCTCACTGAAAAAAAAAATCTACATTTAAATTTCAGTTTTAGACTAGGGAAACATTGAAACTTCAGGTTCAAAACAATTTGCAGATTTTATGCATCTGAGACTGCATATTTAAAGCAATTTTGTATTTCAGTTCCCCACTTGTCCTTTCTCAGTGAGTTAACATTTGCTTCACAGTTTGTGTTCAATTTCAACAGTGTTTTGCTAGACATTATTTTGCCTTCTAGCAAAACATTGTTTCTTTGTTTATTTTCCTACAAGGGTTCCCCACAATTAAGCACAAACCAATGATCAAAAAACTACCCAGAGAAGCCTCAGTGAAACACAGCTGTAATGACTGGAAAAATTCCTGTAGAATTCAAGGAAGTTCATTTCATGATCTATGTGTTTGGACTAATTGATATTCAATCCATCTGAAGAAAAAAACCCATATATCCTATCTTGCAGACAGACAGTGTGCATGATACGCACAGATTCAGTCACATACTGCTCAATTACAACAAGGTGTTTGTGGTTACTTTCACCCAGCAGTTCTTCTTGGACTTCTAAAAAAACAAATGTAAAGAATAATAATCTGTTCCTCCTTGAAATGCTTCCCCGGTATGCTTATGGCGAGAACACTGGTGCTTTGGTGATGAAAAGATCAGGGCTAGACAATCAGGACAATTGCTTTGTTTATAAAAGAAATCATCTATGGTGACTGCATAACTGGACCTAGCTTCCTGAAGTGGGAACTGCTGATTAGCCAACAACTTTGGAGTGATGGTTTTTTTTCCACAGAGAGAAACTGGAAATAAAACTTCTAATTACATGGGAAAAAATATCAAGAATGAGGGAAGAGATAGAAATCTATCTAGATTTGTAAAAAAATCTTGTGAAAACACACTAGTTGTGCCATTGTCTTCTGCCTTTTACGCTGTGACTTTGCTTCTTGATTTTTGGTTAACAATACTTTTCTGGAACAATGATCAAACAAGGCCTTCCTTCAGTGTTCTATATATTCATAAAACCCATAAAAGGGAAACACATGTAAATCGAATTATATTATCATAGCGCAATTCAGCCTCCCATGTTTTACATTATTCCCTCTGTGACGCTTAAGGAAGAGGCTCAGCTGATTTGTGACACATCTAGCAATAAATGGCTGCTCAGATTGATTAAAATCCCCAGTTTCCCTTCAATGGTATTTAGTCTCAACAGTAATCTATTCCAGGCATATTCCAAATCCTCAGAGGATATAGTGCTCTGATGCTGCAATAAACTAGAAACAGATGTATCTTTATTTTTCACCTTCTTCTGTCATTTTGATGATGCTATAAGACTCTGCTTTAGCCTCAAGTGATAATAGATGGAGGTGTAACTGGTAAGAATAACTCAGCAGTTGCAATTTTATAAAGCCATGAGTTATGACAAAGCGGAAGGAGAAAAAAAAAATGAGTCCATGGAAAATGTTGTAACCTGAGTTCATGCCAATGGTTTGACAGAGAAAGAATTCCAGTCAAGGTAGTGGATACTTTTACAACACTGTGGATGTGTGAGGCAATGCAGGGTTGCCTGGAGATGAATGTTACCTATTCACTGCAAGAGAATGAAAAGTGTCTGGAGCAAGAAGCTGAAAATTGGATTTTTCCCCCTCATCTTTATTATCTACAGCATTTCATGCTAGAAATCAAAAGGCAAAGTGAGATTAGGGCCTCACCTATACCCAGGCAAACCTAGTGAGGCCACGCAGCAGAAAGTAGAACTGTTTTTTGAGAGCTCCTTGGCCTGTCTGACATGAGCGATGATAAAACTTTCTCTCTAGCTGAAGGAAAATTTGATATTTAAAAACCACCAGGCTTGTGCTAAAGCATGCAATTCTGCCTACGTGAGTGGTTTGGCTGAAACAATTGCCACCAGCCTGCTGAAAAAAATGGGTGTACTCTTTGCTCACTCCCATTGCAAAGGAAAATTAGTTAGTGGGTGCAAGGTTTGCAGGACAACCTCCATGGAAAGAGGAGAGACCCTTCCAAGAGCGTGCTGGGTTCTGCAGAAATCAGTCAAATGCAGTCGATTTTCCACAGCAAATTTTCTGGTTTTAACAACTGGGTGTTTAGGGGGCAAAATAGATTCTGATGAGAAAGTCTGGACCAGCTGTACGTTGGCAAGAATATGTTGTCTTGATTCCAAGATAGCTGAAATCAAAATTACCAGTGTGTCCAATGTATTATTCAGGGGACATGACACTAAGAAAAGTTTTGGACTCTTAACAGAAGAATCATCCTAGGTGAGATCAATCTAGTCCCATCTGATCATCTAGATCCTCTCATAGGTGTCTGAAGTATGTGAGATAAATAGGTCTTTGGACTCGCCACTCTCTTCATTCACTGTCAGAAATACTAGTTAGAATCTGAATTTTAAACAACCAGAGATAGCCACCTAGTGCTTTGCCCTTCTAGAGATCAGTCTGAAGGAAACAGACAGGGACCCTGCACTGAATTCAGCTGCAAGCCAGACTTCTTCCCTAGCAATGCCACCCCATAGCTGTCAGTGCTGCAGGTCTTGACTTCTACAAGAAGCCATTTCTCCATGTTCTCATTTTGTCTCTCTCCCTTTCCTCCCCAGCTTTTTGGCTATAGGTTGCAACCAGTAGCCCAACAGCTGAACTGAATTTAAAGCAGAGCCTGGCTTATTTAGGAATTGGTCCTAAAGGCACCTGTGTTGAGGACCCCATGAAAGAGGCAGCAGGAAGCTTCTGCAGTCAAATCTAATGAAATTACAGCATCAACATCAGTGTCCTCTTCTTTGCACTAGTGCTGGAACTGTCTATTGACCATAACATTGTAGTATTTAAACCATCAAGCCTTAAAATTATGTCCAAGTAGATCATGAGGCAATTGATCATGAGGTAATCAACCTGATGGCTTTGTCTGCAATACATTTCCCAGTGAAAAAGACAAATTTTTGCAAGGAATAAAATTAAAATTTAACTCAGCTACCGTATGACCCATGTTCGCTACCTTCTCACAGCTGCTTAACACGTCACATGTGTTTCCTTTTGTATTGCATCTTGAGGCTCTCCTGAGTACTGGCAAAGCTTGAGGGAGAAACTTTGGAGAGAAAATGCCCTTTCCACAGAGCCCAGACTTGGAAAGGCTGTCTCTGCTGAATTTGAGCTGTTGTACAACCTTTGAATCAGCTCTGAGCTTTTCCACTGCAGTCTATGAGCAATACATGGCACTCAGGAGACTCTGGAGTGTTGCTGAAGCTTCATACATTTCATCTCTGTGAACAGAATAAAAGTTTCTTCTCTTGAAAACAATATTTACAACATTCTTCTGCCATTTCTGTTGAAAAAAATGAAACTATCTTGCCTAGTGCAATTTAGAGCGCAATATAGATATACCGAGGGTAGATGTTGTTCCAAATTTGGATGTCTGAGTTGGATATATAGAAAAACAGATGCATAAACAATGAACATTGCAGCCCTTAGCTTGAACATGTCTGTGAATATACAGAAGTCCTGGGGGAGCAGCTCTCCCTGGTACCTAGCTTATCTTTTGGGATGGGGGTTAGGAATATCTGCTGGCAAAATAGAAGCTACTGCAATCTTCAAGACTTCTTTGTATTAGTTCAGGGATTTCTCTTTGCTTTTTAAACAGCTGTATTTTCAACACTTGTTCCTCCATCCAGGTCTTATTTCATAAAATTTTCAGTGAACCTATGTGAAGACCCTCAACAGCCACTGGGCTGTGGGGATAATTTAGTCCATTCATTGCTTTAAAGATCTGCTGTGTGCTTTGGATTTCTGGCAGTTATTCCTTGTGGCTTTTCTTGGCTAAAGAAAAATTGTTTCTGTATAGTTTCAAATCACAGTAAATATCAGCCAGCACAAGAAAATTATGTATACGCCAGCACAGATTTGGTTGAATTTCTTGCACATTATTTGGTAAGTTCATTCATCTCTACTAGCATATTGCATCCCTTTCTTGCTGTATGATCAAACACAGTTTTTTAAACTTTATGTTATATTCAGTGCAATAATGTAGGATTTATAATTTCAAAATATATGCAACGTACAAGAAGTAAAAAGTCATCAACTCACTACGATTAGCAGCGAATTTCAGTGTTGTACTACGTAGCTTTATAAGACTGTGATACCGATTGTTTTATCCATGTATTTAAATGATGAATACTTCGTAAAGCTAGTCTCAATTTCTGAAAAGAGAATGCATATGAACTCTAAGTCAGCATTGATCGATGGTGAAACCATGCCATAGTTATATAAAGAAACAATTGCTGAATTTGCTAGCTACAGCAGTAAGGTAGCATTTCAGTTTATGACAGATTTGTGAGTCTTAACAACTGAATATTATCACCATCTCCAGGGAAGGAGAAAAATAGAGTAACGCAATGGAAATTCCAGAGTCACAGGGAGAGTGAAAACAAATAATACACAAGATTCAATCACTAGCATGCTCCTTTTTTTCTTTTCACATTTTCCTTTTGTTCTGTTTTCTTCTAGTCACTACTGCAAAGGTGCAAATCTCTGAGAGGCTGAAATCAATCTACAGACTTGGATGTTTAAGTAATATTTGAATATGAGAAGCAGTGATTGTAAGTTTTTTAAACAAGATTGGGATAAATAATTCTTCAACATAGATATATTCATTTGGGAATGGGATTACACCAAAGAAAGTATTGGATCCACTGTTTTCAAGGCTTTGAAATAATTTTGCTTTCTTCTGGAGGAAAACAGGCGAGTAAAAGGTGCAATCACGTAAAAGACACATACAGACACAAACACACAAGAATGAGCTAAGGAAACACTGAGCATATTTGGAGTAGGACTTACTCTCAGCCCCATCAGATAGTAGAGCACGCTTATTAGCCCCATAGGCAGCACATAGAAGAGAAAAGATGTAATCTGGACAATACAGTTGTAGATCCACATGGGCATGACTACAGTGCAGGTAGCAGAGCCGGGGACCAGGGTGCCATTGGGGAAATACTGCAACATGATACCATGGGTGCCCGTGTTGGGGAGGGCGAAGAGGACAGAGAGGACCCAGAGCACCACGATGGTCCTCAGGGCACGCTTGCGAGTGCTCTCCAGCTTGGCACGGAAAGGATGGAGGACAGCAATGTATCTCTCCACGCTGACTGTGGTCACGGTGAGGATGGAGGCGAAACACACCGTCTCAAAGAGTGCTGTCTTGAAATAGCAGCCGATGGGCCCAAACAAGAAAGGGTAGTTACTCCACATCTCATAGACTTCCAGTGGCATCCCAAAAAGCAGCAAGAGCAAGTCTGAGATGGCGAGACTGAAGAGATAGTAATTGGTCGGGGTCTTCATGTTCCGGTGCTTGAGGATTACCAGGCAAACTAAGGAGTTACCTACCACCCCAACAACAAAGATCAGGGTGTACACCAAAGCCACGGGCAAGAACAGATGGCTCCGTCTCGGCCCACATAGGAAGGCTAAGTAATCCTCAGTGCTGTTTAAGTATATCCTGAAATGTTCTTCATGTAGAGCAAGTTGTTTAAACCAGGAGATATTGCCGATCCAGGCCATTACTGGATCTTCTGAATGTTTCACAACTGAGATCCAGCCTTCTTAAAGATTCTCTGTGCTAGTTTGCTCACTTTTTGCAGAGAGAGGAAGAGAGGGAGGGAGTTGTCTCACCAGACTGAGATGCACAAAGCCACTGAGAGATGTGAGTGAGTGTTTGCCTGGCTTCGGTTAAGGTTTTGCCGTTGTAACAGCTGTTCCCCTGCAAGGAGTCTCTGAGCCAGAAAGCCCCTCCTTTCACACATATTCATTGGCTCACTAAGTGCATTAGATTATAGAGTAAGAAAAGAGGTTCCAGCTACTTGTATCAGCTCCCAGAGCAGATGCATTTACAGAGTCAGAAATGGGGGATTTAGAGAGCTGGGAGTCTGAAATAAAGGATATGAGACTAGCTGCAAGTTTTCTGTATTTGTCAGAGGGTGGGAAACCAGAAGAAGGAAACCCCAAAACTCAGTCCAAAAAGCTTTTACAAAATTATATTGATGCTACATCAACAGTTATGAGCCACAAGGAAAAGAGAAAAAATCTGGTATGATTTTATTTTTCAGATCTCTACTGAATTTTATTTTCTGTTGCCTACAGCAGCAAGTGCTTGGAAACAGAGTTTGATCGGTAGAGAGCCAACCTGATTTTGTAGTCGTTCATGTGGAATTAGGCTACTATAATGTTTCAGCCTTTTTTAAAACACTGTATTTTTTTTCTCCTGAAATCTGACATAGGATTTTAATTGCTCTTGTTATTGATATAAAAATATTTTCCCACTTTCCTAGTACGCTGGAATCTGATCTTATATTCTTACCCAGCCTTGTTTGCAATATTTCTGAACACCGTATTAATACAAAGACATATTTATTACCTCCAGGATTAGATTTACATGAATTATTATAAACTCTCATTTCTTCCTGAATGCAACCATTCTGCAAACACATTTTCTGAGCCAAAAAAGTGTATCCTGCAAGGATGATGGCTGTGTCAAAATACATAATTTAGCTCCTTCTGAATGCTTGATTCCTTACTGGATTTCTCTAAAACAAAAAAGTTTCAAAGTGCATAGATATAATTTTCTGAGATACAGGAAAATTGTAGCTGTTTGGAGTTAAAGAGGTGCAAAACCTGAGGGCAAGTTTATTGGATTTTTGTCAGCGTAACGTGCAATTTTTCTGCTCAGTACCTCTCACTTTTGAGTACCTGACCCAGTCGCCACTTTGAAGCCTTGTAAACTTTTTGCATGCAAATCATCCTTAGGTAAGGAGCTCCTCGGTTCTACTTCTCTGCCTGACCCTTTAGCTCAATCTCCCTAGCTGCTAACTAAGACTGCTTCTTTTTAACCATTCAAGAGGAAAAGAACAACCCTTTTGGCTGACATCTCCTCCAAAGACCTGACAAAAGTAAGTTTTCCAAGGAAGATGCAAACTATTCCACTATGAGTGGCTAGACAGTAAACTGATCCCGCACAAAACCTGTTCTCTGACTCTTAAGAATTGAGGCTGTCTTAGATCCTGTCTTCTTTACTCCTTCCCTCTTAAACTTCTCCTGGTGTAGCAGCAGTCCAATAATATCACAACAAAAATATACTGTTGTAATAAGCACAGTCTGCCTCCAAAAACAGCAGCAGTATGTGAAGAACCAAGGTTTGGTTCCCACAAGGCATATTTGATGTGTGGAGCTCGAGGATTACTGTGCATTCATTTAAATGATAAAAGCAGGGAAGATGCAACTGTACTAAACTCTACGAAAAGACAGAAGCATGTCTCTTGTGATGACTTTTGGATTTTCTGAAATTATCTCACACATAAACTGTCTCTGTCAGAAAGAGTCTACTCATTTATTTTAGCATTGCACAGAGGTGTTTCATTCAGGAGATTGAAAGGTTTTATTGGATTGGTGAGAAACAAGAGCTCTTTTGACCTATTTCTCCCTTCATTAAGGATTCATATTAAAGATATTCCTTGCATTTTAACAATATTGAATTTGATTTTGATCTACTGTTTTTGTAAGAGGTAGGGACAGATGAATCATTAGGAGAGTGCCTGATTAAGACCCAGATTGACTATTTAAGAGCACAGTAGGAAAAAAATGTTTGAGGATTTGTGCAGGACTTTCTGTACCTCTGCTTAACTTTCAGGTTTTTTTCCCCATGATCTCTCAGTATTTAATTTCTTTCCATTTCTCCTTTTCCTTCCCCAGTAGTTCCACCATTCTCTATACTGCACCATAATTGAGGTGAGTAAACCCTTCTAAAGTAACTACCAAATTGGCCTTCACTTTTCTCCTTAACCTCTGCAAAGAAACTGAAAAAGAAACTTGAAGTCTGTTCAGCTTCAACTCAGTCTTACAGAAAAGGAAATCAAAATGGACTCAGTTATTTCCTAAAAAGCCAAGAAGGCAGCCATACCCATCATAATCTCTGTGAGAGGAAAGTAATGGGCTGTAGAAATGCATCAGGCCACTTGAAAGTGTGGGTGTGCCAGGCCCACATCCATCTACTTCCACTTGTTTTCCCTTCTCGATCTTTTCCGATCCTGCTGGGCTTGGGTGCTGACAACCTGTAGGAATAGAAGTACAGAAGAAAAACAGGTCTATTTATCTAACAGGTTACCCCTGAAACCGTGTCACTATGACCACGATCAAGTGGCAGATGGAGAGGACAAGGAGAGTGGAAAATATATTTCAGTTCATTTCTCAAAGCTTTATTTGGTGATCTTTATAATATCTCTCTCAATAAGGATAGGAGAGTCTATCTAAGACTATCCAAAGGAGGATGGTGTGCTGCATGCTGACCTTAGAATTGTGCAGTTTTATGTAACAGTATTGTAGTTAATCTAATGTACACTATGTAATATATATAAATGTAGTGTAATATTTGGCAACATTAACTCAGACAAGTTTTTTTGACACAGTAAGTGACACTACTAGTCAGAGTGTGGCGTTATCTCCTTAGTCACTGACTATGCTCTCGTGCTGGTGGTATCCCTCGTACCACATTTACATTGTGGAATCTTCCCCTTAGCCAATGTCAGGTGCTTCAGCACATTCCTGTGTTCCATTAAGGGCAGTAAAATACATGTTTAAGAAGATGTAAATTCAAGTGCCTCCATCTTTGTCAAAACTCTTGTAAGGACACCCATTAGCGACTATATGTTCGGTCAGTACATGCTGAATAATTGTATGTTTTAGGGAAAATTGGACACATTCATCAAAAGAGCCAGAGAATGGTGTAGGTAATCCAGAGTTTAGCAAATGGATAAATACTCCACCAGTCATGCTTACAGAGCAATGTACTTTGAAGAACTATGGGCCATTACGATGGTCTGCTCTGAATGCTTGGTCTTCTCAGAATGTCTGATTTTATTCATGCAAAATAAGTTTTTTTGGTATTTATATCTATCAAGTCAAGGAGGTTTCTTATCCAGGTTCATATGCTCTGGTTGTGAAACTGGAAATAATACAGCTGTGCTAATGCCATAGTGTGCCATGCTAATTAATTCTGTTGATTAGCTGACGTCAATACTGTACTGACATGTCCACTTGGCATCCCAGACTGGAGCTGACACCTCTGAGCAGCCCTGCATGGGTTTGCAAGAGAAGGGCTGTAATGCTTACTGTACATGCACCCTTAGAAAGACATTCTACTTCACTGGAATGTCTTGAAAAGGTATTGAGTTTGCCATAATATTTGGCAAGAAGTAGGTCCAATATCTTTTATCTTCAGCAATTACAACCTGGCCTTTCATTTCCAATTTCTAATTTCCATTTGCAGCCATCAGATTCTGTTGTTTCAGTGGTTTCACCCTTTCTCCAATTTGCTCATACTGATGGTAGGTGCAAAAGCCTTTAGAAACTCTGTGTGAGGGGAGTGCTACCCAGCCTGTCTGAGCTTGCTTTCCCTATTCTTTTCATGGAGCCTCTCAGAGCTGCCCATGGAGCCATGCTGCTTTGTGAACTGCAGGTTAAACTCATTGTTTTAATCCTTTGAGAACTTGGCAGTACCAGCGATTTCTGTCCCATAGGGTTGTAAAGAAGAGGGTGCAAATAAGAGGGTGCAGAGCCGGCAAGCAGAAATGTTAAGCCATACTACACCAAATATGTTAACACAATTGCTAGAAAAATATAGCCTGGCTCCCCATATAGATTATTGACTTAGAATTATAGATCAGGGATTTGACTTTATTTTCTCCTTTGAAAGACTTGTTTGGTTCACTACAGTAGCTAGAATGTGAGTCCTTGTTTTTCTAAGTATATTCAGCATGACATTCAGCATGCCGTCAAATGCATAGATACGTTTTGTCTATTTTCTCTCCCTCCAGGCTGGAGGAGTAAGCTGCACTATAATAACAGCTGGATCTGCAGTAGCCTTTCCGTGCTTTATTGTAAATCATTTTGCAATTATCTAGGCTCTTTGCAGACAGCTTTTCCATGGCTGTGCATGATATCTGAAGTCCCCAGGACATCAATCAACACACATAAGAAGTGGATTTCATGACTACAGTACAAAATACCAAACGGGGCACCTCTCTGCCTGGAGCAACTGGCAATCTACGTAGGCCACTTCAAGAGTGGAACACATTTTGCCTAACTTCAGTCATTAAAAACAGCAAATGAATCTGTGCAGATTTTTTTCTCCTACTTTTAGTTAATAATGGAAAAAGGAACCTCCAGAAAGTGATTTGTCCTAAACCATAGCACAAGGTAAGAGATGTGAAATGGTGGAGGTTATTTTTTCCTATCGTCTGTAGAGGGAAATTGGGTAATAAGGTTTAACAGCAAGCTTGTACAACAGCTGAGATTAATTTAGACCCTAATTTTGTGCAGTCTTACCCATCCTCCTCCCATCGGGGCCAGTCTTTAGAGTGAGCCACGTACAGGCTTCATTTCTGAGAAGCTGTTGAGACAGCTGAAAACAGGGCCAGAGAGCCAGACAGCAGGCAAGGACAGATCAGTGCTAAAAATCCCTCCTGAGTCCTCTTACCTAGCAGGGTGGACATATCTACAGGACAGGGCTTTCAGAGATGGATTGCTTTGTTAGTGTTGATTCCAGAAATTAGAGGGAATGATGTCCTTCCTTTTTAGTAAGTGTTTTGGGAGTTGTTTGTGTGTGTCCTCATGCTTTGAAGAGGCAGTGAGTGGTAGGCTGGGACGTGGTTCAGGCTCAACGTGCAGGGAAGTAGCAAAAAGAGCTGAAAAGAACGCTA